TCTTTCTCTTCAGAACTCTGAAATAGTTTGTGGGGAATTTTGTTGAACGTTGTAGATTAGTGCCGTTGAAAAGCATTTTTTTTTTTTTAACAAAAAGAGAGAGACGGAAAGGAATTTGATTTTCAAACTGGATTAGTTTTTTTTCCCTGAAAAAGTCTCTTGTTTCAGGAAGGGCAGGTAATTTGAAGAGACTAAACTGCGTATAGGCTAAAAAGAGGCTTAAATAAAGTTTATAATATTAACTTATTGCTTAATCTTCAATTTGATTCACAGTCTAGGACTGGTAAAATATAACAATTCAAATCCTAACCACCTCCTCCTCCTTCTTCCTCTTCCTCTCCTCCTCCTTCTCTTTCTCCCTCTCCTTCTTCCTCTTCCTCTTCCTCCTCTTCTTCCTCTCCTTCTCTTCCTCCTCCTCCTTCTCCCTGTTGCTAATTATTATCCCTCATTTCCATAGTGTACAATTTGGTGCTAAAAGACCTGTGCAAATCTCTCTTGGCACATTTATATATATCTATCTATATCTATATCTATATAATTGTATTTATATGGCACTTTCCAGAGAGATTAATCAAAACTAGATCAGTAAAGCTCAGTCTACAATTAAAGGACCAAAAGCCCGTTCCAGTTGTTTATTAATGACTCGGATGAGTGTTCAGAAAATATGCAAAAAATTGGATATGCAAATTGCACAATTGCTGGGGAGATAGCCAACACTTCAGAGGATAGCACCAGGAGGATCTGGGCAAGCTGGAAAGAATGTGCAGTGATCATTAAAATCAATTTCAAATGGAGACCGATGCCAAGTTTATATGAGTGTAGGATGAAAGGGAGCATGTTGGGCAGGCCATCACATGAAAGAGATTGGGCTGTCTTGGTAGATCAAAGGCCGAAGGAAAGCCAGCAGTGTGGTGCAGCAGCAGACAAAGCCAATTCAATCCCTCGACAGAATGTCAGGTGTCAGAATGGCTTTTCTCTCTTTGTCGTTGATCTCATCACGTCTAGAATATGCATCCTGTTCTGGGCACTGCCTGATAGGAAGGACGTTAACATATTTGGAGAATGCTCCTAGGACAGTGGTTCTCAACCTTTCTAATGACGTGACCCCATAATACAGTTCCCCATGTTGTGGTGACCCCCAAGTGGGTGTGGTCACCAATAAGAGGGAGTAGGACAGCTAGGGAAAAGGGAAAAAAATGGCGGACAGCGTGGTTTGGCGACCCCCATGAAATGGTCATTCGACCCCAAATGGGGTCCCGACCCACAGGTTGAGAACCACTGTCCTAGGAGAACATTTGAGATAAGTTTTAAAAAGTTTTAAAAAAAATCAAGGACCAGTTCGAGTTGTAGGGTATGGTCAGCCTGGAGATGGGAACTCTGTCCAGTTCTGGGCACCACAGTTCAACAAAGATGCGGTTTCAGAGGAGGATTAACAAAATCGTGATGGTCTTGAGGTCAACTTCTATAAGGAACACCATCAACTACCAAGAACACCCTCACCTTCACTAACAGGGCAACCCACTTGTATATAAATGGAGAGCATCCCTTCTAGCGCTGATGATGTTACCTAGTTGGGTCATGAAACATCTGTAAGAAAGCCAAGTTCAGAGAAGACCAAAGACCTCACAGCTCAACCTTGAGTTACAGATATGGTCTTCTGTTGCTAGGAGGAAACGTTAAAGGTTCTGGGCATGTTTAGCCTTCACAAGAGATGACTTAAAGCAGGGCTCTTCAAACTTGGCCCTTGGATGACTTGTGGACTTCCAACTCCCGGAATTCCTCAGCCAGCGTGCCTGGCTGAGGAATTCTGGGAGTTGGAAGTCCACCAGTCATCCAAGGGCCAAGTTTGAAGAGCCCTGCCCTAAAGGGAGGTAGAACAATACTCTTCAAATAGTCTGTTTACACAATCCTCGGTGGTACAAACAGAGGTATAGAATCCGAATCACGTGAAGTGTTAGTACCGCTTTATAAATCCTTAATAATGCCACACCTGGAATTCTGTATCTAGTTCGGTCACCACATTACAAAAAGATGTCAAGACTTTGGGAAAAAAAACTGCAAAGAAGAGCAATTAAGATGATTAAGGGCCAGGAGACTAAAACATAAGAAGAACGGTTGGAAAGAATTGGGTCTGGCCAGTCTAGAGAGAAGGACTAGGGAAGAGGGATATGATAGCAGTATTCTAGAATTTGAGAGGTTGCCACAAAGAGGAAAGAGTCAACTTATTTTCCAAAGCACCAGGAGACAAGAAAGAATGGATGGAAACTAATCAAGGAGAGAAGCAAGAAGAAACTTCTTTTTTTTTATTGAAAACTTTTAAATATTTTTACAAAAAACAAAAAAACGACCCTAACCCACCCACCCTAACCCTCCCTCTCCATCCCCCCCCGACCTTCCCAGAGCTGAATATAGGCTTAATTAAAATTTTTAAGAATCTTTAAAAAACTAAAAAAGTATAAATCATAAATATATCTAAATACCTTACATAAACAACTTATAAAGTAATTAACAATAAGATATATGTAAAAAAAGCATAAGTATTTAAAAAAAGTACTTAAAAGAAAAAAAGATGATAAAAAAAAGAAAAAAGAAAGAAGAAAAGAGATATAAAAAAAGTACAATCTATAAAATATTGAAGTTTACATACAAGTTATTAAAAAGCTAAATGATATTTTTTTATATCCAATTTATATTGTATAAAATTTATCCATTTTTCCCATACCGCAAAGAATTTCTCTTGCGATTGCTCCTTTAAGCAAGAAGAAACTTCTTAACAGTGAGGACAATTAATCGATCGGCTTGCCTTCAGAATTATGGGCGCTCCATCACTGGAGGCGTTTAAGAAGAGACTGGACAGCCACCTGTCTGAAGTGGTACAGGGTCTTCTGCTTGAGCAGGGGGCTGGACTAGATGACCTCCGAGGTCCCTTCCAGCTGTATTCTGATTCTCTTTGGCTCCAGAGAACAGAACCAGTTGAGTGCAAACTTCAGCTTAGCTATCAGGAGGAAATTTGTGACTGGGTCGGCCATCAGACAGAGGAACACGCTACCACATGACGTTCCGGATAATCTCCAAGGTGTCCTCCGATCCCTCATGTTCTACAACCTTATGTTGAAGTCTGTGTGCTGGAATTTTATCTTCAGAGGACTAAGTGGGAATTGGTCTCCAGTGCCAGGAAGATGGTACACCACGGAGTCATCACACCAGGTTTCCACGCAGGAGAAGAAAAAGCTAGAAAGATCAAGACCTGTCGCCCCAAGAGGGGGCTGAAAAGGAAACACCCCGCGATGGCTGTTGCGGAAATAGGACATCAGTGTACCCTTAAATCAAAACTGACCCCAATTCTTCATTTATTCTTGGCATATCCCTACACAACTACTAAAGAGTCTAGCCACCTTGTTGTTATTAGTTCCGAACTCGTGTCCGACCCATCGCGACCCCATGGACAATGTTCCTCCAGGCCTTCCTGTCCTCCACCATCTTCTGGAGTCCATTGAAGCTCACGCCTGTTGCTTCAGTGACTCCGTCCAGCCACCTCCTTCTCTGTCGTCCCCTTCTTCTCTTGCCCTCCATCTTTCCCAGCATTAGGCTCTTCTCCAGTGAGTCCTTCCTTCTCATTAGGTGGCCAAAGGACTTGAGTTTCAACTTCAGGATCTGGCCTTCCAAAGAGCAGTCAGGGTTGATCTCCTCTAGGACTGACCGGTTGGATCGCCTTGCAGTCCGGGGGACTCGCAGGAGTCTTCTCCAGCACCAGAGTTCAAAGGCCTCCATTCTTTGGCGCTCGGCCTTTCTTACGGTCCAACTTTCACAGCCATACATTGCAACTGGGAAAACCACGGCCTGGACTATACGCACTTTTGTTGGCAGGGTGACGTCTCTGCTTTTGAGTATGCTGTCTAGATTTGCCATAGCTTTCCTCCCCAGGAGCAAGCGTCCAGCCACCTACAGTCACACAACTCCTCGTGTACAATTTAAAGGTGGACACTAGGGGCTAGAAACTTGTTCTTCCCTGCTTGTTTTTTTTCTTATCCCAAGGGACAAAAATGGTTGTGAGGTGGGGAGACCCATTCAGATTCAAAGCTAGTCAGGTATTGCAGGGAGGGGGGTGGAAATCGTACTAAATTTGCTTACAAATAGAAACTGGGTTTGTTGGCTGTGTCATTTGAGGGTCTGTATTTGGGGAGGTCCAAGGGGGGGTCTTTTGCAGTCAAACCCCTCCCTCGTCATCCGAGCACAGATTTATCCCTGCCAGACTCAAGGCTGATGCTTCTGTTTTATCTCCTGTGGGGAGCACGGCCAAGGCAAGGGATGATGGGAGCTGTAGTCTAAACCTTTGGCTCAGCTACCTCTCTCTGTAAGTGTTTTTTTTTTATTCTCCCCATTCTGCAGATGGAAAGACTGAGGGCAGGTGGGATTTTTCTCTCAGCTGAAGATGTCTAGTGAAGTGGTTAGACTTAAGCTGTGTTTTTGGACCGGCCGGTTTCATCTGGGGAAGGACCAAGAGGGTGTTAGAAGTGGCATTCTGCAAATTTGATCCTTTTCATCTCTCTCTCTCTCTCTCTCTCTCTCTCTCTCTCTCTCTCTCTCTCTCTCGTAAAAACAGATGTTAATCAGGATAGCAGCAGCAGCAATGATGAGGATGATTAATAATAATAATAATAATATTATAATAATAATGATGATGATCCTTATTAAGGTGGGGAGGTGGTCAGCTGCATAAGGGTTAAGCATCCTCCCTCGCTTTCTCTCTCTCTCTCTCTCTTTGCTTGTGTGTCTGTGTGTGTGTGTGTCTGTGTGTGAGCATAAGAGAGGAACTGCGCTCTCCCAGCCTCCCTCCCTCTCTCTGCAATAAATCCAGCTTAAAGGACGACAGCAGAAGAGCCTCAAAAGGATTACAGAAGTCTGTATAATACAGACGCCAGCACCAAAGCAGAAGAGAGAGAGAGGGAGGGAGGAAGGGGGGGGGAAATAAAATAAAGAGACAGGCGACCGAGGAGGGAGGGAGGGAGGAGGAGGAGGAGGAAGAGGAGGAGTTGTTGAAGGTTGCATCCCAAACTCCAGCCTGACTCTTCCATTCGGGGGAGAGCGGGCGAGAACCACGAAGCCGGCCTCGTCCGTCCGCTGGGTACCGCTGGCAGCATCCTCCAGCCTGTCTTTCCTTGCTGTCTGGTCCTCTTCCATTCCCCCCCCCCTGCTCCGCCGGGCGCCCAGCGATGGATGCCACCCGCCCCAGACGCTTCCGTGCCCCTTCTCTGCCTCTGCTCCCCTCCGGAGCTTCCTCGCCGAATGGGAGGCTGGCGTCCTTTTGAACCAGATGGCGTTTAGATTCGGAGGGGGAAGCGGAACACGATGATCTGCCTGCTGCTGCCTCTGTGCTTTCTATTCAGCAAACTCCTGGACTATGCCGCCTTGGGTAAGTGGGGAGCCTTTGCCTGGGGGGGGGGAGAAAGAGGAGGAGAAGAAGAAAGCAAGCGGGGGCTGCTTCTCCCACCCCATCCCTCCCACCCCCCCAGGGGAAGGGGATCGACCGAAATACTCCGCTCCGTGGTGCGGGAATTATTGGCTGAGCTCCCCAGCGGATGGAGCCGGGGAAAAATTTCCTGAACTCATGCCAACTTTGGATCCCTGGTTTTGGAGGGGGGGGGGTTCCTTTCCTTTCTGAGTCTCTCCCCCCCTTCTGGGAGTCAATTGTTTGCCAGAGAGGGCTGCTTTGGGGGGCTGTCCGTTCGCGCCATCCTTCACCTGCCTTCCTTCCTTCCTTCCTTCCTTCCTTCCTTCCTTCCTTCCTTCCTTCCTTCCTTCCTTCCTTCCTTCCTTCCTTCCTTCCTTCCTTCCTTCCTTCTGTGCCAAGATCGGCTCTCTCCCCTTAGCGTCCTCTTTATTCTTCGAAGGTGGGAAGGATCGTCCTAAATTACAGCAGTTGTGGGGAAAGAGACCTTGCTTTGAACCCGACACCCCCTCTTCTCTCAACCAACCCTCATATTGTGGATCTGAGCGGGCTGGGGGATAAGGATCTCGAGGATGCTTGCTTTGGAGATGTTGAGGCTTCCCAAAATTGCAACCGAGGGGGTGCAGAAACAACTGTGATGGGTCAGGAGGAGTGAATGCGGGGTGCAAATGGCCCCCGGGGGCTGGCGTCCGGGTGTGGGTCGGTGTCGGTGTGTGGGGGTGTGTGTGTGCTCACCGCAATTGACTAATCCCTGATGCATCTCTTGGGGAGAATCCCCCCCCCCCAAAACCCTTCCCATGCTCAGCTGCCTTTAACGATGCCCCTGGTCCTCCCCATCGATTTTGCCCGCCCTCTGGAGGGCATCAGAACGGGTGACGGCTTATTAATGGGTGCTCCCTCCCTCCCTCACATGTCTTAATTTCCCCACCCCACCCATTCCTGCTGTGGGTGTGTGCTTGGCTTTCCAGTTTAGACCCAATGAACAGAGACGCCAGCCGGTCTGTTTTTTATTATTATTGTACTGGCATCCAGAGGTTACGCCAGGTCACAGGGTTAATCCTCGGGTTGGCAGATGTGAGAAAGTTTCTTCAGTTTTATTTCTGACAAACTGACGAACCCACCCACCATTTTGGGGCAGGTGCAGAGTGCCTTAACACAGGGGGAGCGAAAGCAGCCATACCTTGGGGGTGTTTTTGCCTGTTTAGTCTTCCCATCGCTGTGCTTTTTTTGGAGGTGGTGAGATACAACCTAGTTATAAATCAGATCAGAATCATCCCCCCCCCAAAGGTGATTCAGTCACATTTCGAACCATGATTCTTGCTTTCCTATAGTTGTTCATTTTGGCTTCTTGGCTCCGAAGCACTTATTATCCCAAAACATTTCTTTCCCCTTATCTTTTTTTTTTTTTTTAAAGACATGGTCATTTTTCAGAAAAGGTGGCTTTGGAAATTTACTGCTGTAAATTGGAAAAGAGAAGCAGGTAGGGCTTGGGGGCAAAGCTGTTGCCTGCATTCAGGTGTGTGTGTGTGTGTGTGTGTGTGTGTGTGTGTGTGTGTGTGCTGGGAGTTCCTGTTGCAGGGTTTCCAGTGCAACAATTTGGGAGCGATTTTTATGGAAAGTCCGAAGTTGTGGGCTTTCTTTTTTCAATCGAGCTCCGTCGAGCTGGGCTGAAATTTGTCTGAGAAACCTTTGCCATGAGTTGCGCGAAGAGATTTTTCCCCACCTGGGTTAGGAAGATTATTTAAGGGGAGAACAAGAGAGGATCATTATTTATGGCTGGCGATCCAAAAAAACGATGACCCAGTTGTTTTATTTAATGTTATTTACAGAGGCGCAAAAAAAAAAAAAATGACGGGGACATAAAGAAATCCCTTTAGCATGCAGCTTGGCTCATTGGCTTGAGTTACCTAGACATGTGATCTAGATCAAGATCTTTTGGGGGGGCTGTGCTGGTCCGTACTGATTCTTTAGACAGGGAGGGGCAATCAGCAGCTAGTTTATCTCCCCCAACTTTTCAATGTTTCAGCTCAGATGCTCTTGGTTTCCTGCCCTCCTTTAGCATTTGTTTAAAGGACATTTTTCAAAGCTCATGAAACGGGGGGAAAGGCAGCAGGACAGATCGAATGGGATGTTAACTCTCCTGTGTTTCAAGACCGGATTTAAAAATGATTTTCAACAGAATGTGAAGGGATCAAGGTGGTTGTTTTATTTTGAATCGGTGGAGATTCCTCCTTCAGACAGCAGAGGGTGCAGCTGGGTGCATTTCCCTGGCCATCCTGGTTTATTAGCCGACTTTGGTTAAGCAATGCGGTCCAGACAGGAAAGCTGCCCCCGTCTGCTCAGATGCCAGCCTTCCCCCTTCATCTTCCTCGTCTCCCTGGGTCTGCATTGTTCCCTGCCAGAGAGAGAGAAGCGTGTTCAGGATGGGGAAAAAGCTTTGAATAATGGAAGCGCCACCGAAGGTGAGCTCCTTTTGAAGTTGCTGGCAGGTAGTAAAAATTTAATGGCCTGGAAACTCTCTGCCTATCTTCCTCCCTTCGTGCTCGGCTGGCTGTGGCCGTGGTCTGTCTCGTGTCAATATGCAGAGGGTCAAAAACTGCCTGTAAATCTCCTGTGAGTGTGACGCCCAGCGTGTGCTGAGAATCGGGGAATCAAATTTTGCTTTCTGCCTACCTGGAAATATCTGTGCAATGCTGGATTCTCTCCTGTTGGATTTACCTCTCTGGGATGGCTTCTAATGCATGCTTACTCCAGAGCGGAACCTTTGTCTTGTTGGGCTTTGACTCTCTGCAATGGACTGACCGGATGACAGCCTCAAACAGGACATCTCTTTAACTCCGTCTCGGGATTCGTACTAAACTCTGAATTGTAAATTAAACTTTTGGGGGTCACTTGGAATGGTGGTTGGGTGTTTTCTTTGCTGACCGAAAATCACATACCTTGATGTCTTCTATCAGAGTTTGGAAAAAGTTGTGTCCGAAGCCCTCAAGAGCTGTACCCAAGTTAATATAAAGTATCAAGATACTATTTATTATAGTTCGAGTGAATGGCACCAACTTTGCAGTGAAGTAGAGAAGAAGCGAAGGAAAAGTGGATGTGAAGATTGGTTAGATCCAGCTTGAAGCTGCAGATGAGAAAATAAAATCCATAAAATCGCCCAAGATGTCTCTTTGAGAGAGTCAACCAGGCAGTGGTTGGAGATGCTGCCAGCAGGGTCTTGCTAAGCTTCCTTCCTTCCTTCCTTCCTTCCTTCCTTCCTTCCTTCCTTCCTTCCTTCCTTCCTTCCTTCCTTCCTTCCTTCCATCCATCCACCCATCCACTCTACGAGCTCCTTTGGAGGTCTTGGAGAACATCAACACAACAAGAGCTGTGCATTGCAGAAGCCCCATGTCTGGCTTTTCTTGGTTTACGTCTTCTCCTCTTGGAAAGTAAAGTTCCTCTAGACTATGTCTTCTTCTCCAGACTTCCTCACCCTTGTTGTGGTTTTGCTGATGGGGCTTCTGGTGTTTTGTGTTTTAGTTTCATCTGCTTGGGGGGGGGTGACATTTTGTGCCTCCAGAAATCCACCTTCTTCAGATGTTTGGAAGCCGATCTGTGAACATCTCATGGGAGAGAAAAGCTGGCTGTGTCTGAAGCTCATGTGGACTCTCTATTTTCTCCTGGTTTTAGTGACTCTGGACCCACCAGAACCCCTTGGTCTCCTTGCCTTCGCTCCTGCAAAGCCTTGGAGATGCTGCAGCTAATTTGGAGAAGAAAAAGGAAGGGCGAGGAAGGAAAATATGGGTTGATCCGCCTTGCGGGAGATGAGAGTTGTCCATAATTGATGGCTCAGTTGGTTCAAGTTCTCCTTGGTTGGCCAAACTTGGGAAAAAATGTGGATGGTCTTTAGATGGCCCTTTCCTGCAATAACCTGTGGTTCTCTAGATGCTCTAATCCCATCAGCCCCAGCTGCCCAGCAGCAAAAGCTCAGGAGAAGTAGAGTTCAGAGTCTCTAGTTCAGGGCTCTTCAAACTTGGCCCTTTGATGACTTGTGGACTTCAACTCCCAGAATTCCTCAGCCAGGCATGCTGAAGCCCACAAGTCATCAAAGGGCCAAGTTTGAAGAGTCCCACTCTAGAGCAATGTTTTTCAACCTTGAAGAAGAGTGGACTTGAAGAAGAGTGGAATTCAACTCTTAGAAGTCTCCAGCCAGCGTTATCTCTTGACACTACAAGATCTCAGAAGGGTTTGGTCCATTAAGGATTGTCTAGTCAGTGGGCATGAAATGGGCTCTTTCATCTTCCTTTCTCCATCATCTTCTCCCCTTCTTGAGCAGCAGATGGACCAGCCTTCCTTGTTTCTTCTTCTTTCTTGGCCCAAAGGTGCTTTTTCAGGAGGTAACTGGACTTCCTTGGTTTTCTTTGAAGACATTTCTCATCTCAGAAGCTTTTTCAACACTGACGGGATGGTGGATGGTGCCTCAGGAAGAAGCATCTTTGGGACAACTGTGACCTGGATGACTGAGAATCTCCGTAGACACGTCTTCCTTGGCTTCCCAAAACACCTCGTCACCACCTCCTCTTCCATCCTTGCATCCCGCGAGTCTTCTAAATCCACGTTCACATGCCTTCCCTCTTCCAGCCTTAAAATCAAACCAACCATGAGCTGAAGCTTCTGCCAGATCACGCAAGTGAGCCAAATGAGACACTCCAGGTTGGCTCAGGTGAGAAGAGACTTTATTTTGAAACTGGACAGCTGGCTCATTTCCCATTGTCCTCATTTTTTTTTTAAAAAAAAGTCTTATTGAGAAATGTTCTGGCTTAGTTTCAAAGAAGGCTGCTCAGGAAGGTAGGCTCCCCCAGTGATCATCTAGTCTCTACCTGCCCATGGAAGATATCTACCGCTAAACCAGTGGTTCTCAACCTTTTTAATGCCGTGACCCCCAACCGGTTGTAAGTCGAGGACTACTCAACTGGTGCAGCACC